TGTCAGCAGAGCCGCCACTAGGCGCAGGGTGCTAGGAAACGGGCCTGGGCCAGACCACCGTCCCGGGGCCACCCGGCGGGTCGGGAGCCCCTTCTAGAATCCGGGCCAGAGGCACCTGAGTGAGATGGGGCAGCGGCTCCCGCCAGGTCCCCCCACTGTCACTTCCTCTCCTCTCCTGGAATTCCTGCCCTCTTCCTGCCTCTGCGGTGGGTTGGGGGCAGGGCGTGGGCCGGCCAAGGGGTACCTGTGGCCAAACCACCCCGCACCACCGTGCCGATAGAGGCTCTCACGCGGAAAACATGGTTCCTCTCCCCCCCCAAACCCTACACGATGGCGGGGCCGCGGCAGCCCCCAACTCTCAGGAAGAGGGGAGGCACCCCCAGTGATGGAAGGGGAGGCCGGGCCCGCGCCAGGCCCGAGAGTCTCGAGCAGACCCCAAGCAGGCAGCAGCTGACCTAGGCCAGCGGGCTGCGGGGCAGGAGGCCCACCACACTCCGAGCCCCGAAGTCCCCCGAGCCCCGAAGTCCCCCGAGCCCCGACCTGCTGCAGGTCCAGTCCCCGGCCAGACTCGGATGCCAGGGTCAAGATGCCGCCGCCGAGGGAGCTCCCAGCCCCTCCCCCGTGCCCCGAGCCTCGTCCACTGAAGGACCAGGGCCCCGCTCCACGCAGGGCACTTCCAGGGAGCACCCACATCCGGCAGGGCCCCCTCTCCAGGGAAGGGGGTGCAAATTCCACAGAGCCTTCCGGAATGCAGACCCCGAGAACTCCCGGGTTAGCGATCCAACTCTTCTTTGCCCCCAGACCCTCCCAAAGACGGTCTCTGTCTGTCCGTGTGTCTGTCTGTCTCTCCTGAGCTAGGGGGTGTGGTGGTGAGGATGGACCCCAGGCCTCCAGCACGCAGACCCCGCGGCATCCCACTGAACAGCTTCCTGTCCCAGGACGCTCAGAAAGAACGACAGCAAAGGGAGGAGGCCGATGGGGCCATCCCCCCACACACACACACAGAGTCACACATTCATTCAGTCACACACACATGCATCACACAGTCTCACACGTCCACACACAGACCCACACACCTCCACACAGGCCCACCATCACATACTTTCATACCACCACACACACTGCCACAGTCACAGCCACACAGACACATTCCCACAGTCACACACTGACACACAAGCGAGCAGGGACACACTACACACGCAGACGCAGTGCGTGTGACATGCGTGCGCGTGGCGTGGCAGGTGGGAGGGTGGCCCTGAGCGTCCCTCAGGAGCGGTCGGCAGGAGGACACACCACTGGGCTCGGCAGCAAGGTCTGGGCTCCCCCGCACCCACCCCAAGACGAAATGCGCATCGTGGGGCCTTCACAAGAGCCAGGCCCTGGGGTAGCATCCGAGAGAGACTCTGGGAGACCCTCTTGGGTCAACTGCCAGGCTGGCCGCCAGCCCCCCACAAGCCCCAGGACCCCCGCTGCCCCAGGCCCCTGCCTGCCCAGCACAGGCTCAGAGCCTTGAATTCTCAGAGCGTTCCCTGCCTGAATCACACTGAACAAATAGTCCCCACCCTCTCCCACTTCTTTTGTCTGAAGCACCTCGTCACAGGCTGCCACCTCGACCAGCTCCCGGTGTGCCCCGAGGACCAGCAGGAACCAGAAGCTCGTGGCCGCAGACAGCCCGTCCTTCCTCCTCACCCCACCGGCCTCCGGCCCCGAGCCAATCTGCAGCCACCTGGGCCTCGACCGGGAAGGTGGCGGCCCGGGCAGCCAGGCCTGCGCGGGTGCAAACACGGAGAAGCCTGGCAGTCCCCCTGGGGCTCAAACGGGGGGGGGGGTCCCCACCTTCCCTCTGAGTTACGGGCAGGTGCTGGGGCCCGGAACCAGGAGCCCACCCTGAGTCCCGCTGCTGGGAGGGGTCAGCTCCGTCTGCCTAGCCCGCCAATGCTTGTGAATCCCACGGGCCAGAGGGAGAGCCAGAGAGCTCGCGGGGCTCCCCTCCCCCCGCCGAGCCATCCAATTTCTCAATGATATTTGGATATACAAAATGTTACCCAACTCTGCTCACTAGGTCAGACGGGCACCCAGGCTTGCTGGGGCTCTGCGGCCCGAGAGGCCGTCCCCGGCTCTGCGCGGCGCGGCCCGACCCCACCAAGCCCGAGTGAACGGCAGGAGATGGGGTGGGGCAGGTAGCTACAGGGTGGGGGGTGGCCAGGCCTCCTGCCCTGCCTCCTCTCACCGGCCACCGGCCCCCTGCACCCGAGGTTTTTTACAAGGCTCAGGTATATAAAACAGGCACACACAAAACAAACATTTACTGAGTACCAACGATAAAATGATTTCAAGGCGACTTCTCCACGACCTTCAGCTACGTGGCCCCACGCAGGGCTGCAGCCCAGTTTAAACTGGGATTCAAGCAGGAGAGATTCTGACATCCCACGTACACACGTACACACACACACTGGGAGCCCAACAGGCGAAGAAGAACCCCCTCGGGCGGCAGAGGTGCCGCATGGCCTGGCCCAGCTGGAGAGCCCCAACTCAGACGCAGACGCCACACCTCGGCCAGGCGGGTACCTCGGTGGACGGCCGGGCTGCCCCCAAGCCGCAAACTGTCATGCCCACGCGGGTGGGGGAGGGAGGGCGGCCCGAAAGGCCATGCACATGCCCCTTGCCAGTGGACACCAGGCCCCGCAGAACCTGAAGTTCGACTCAGAGACACTTCAGCAAACAGAGACAACTTCAGTGCACGATGGAAACACGGCTCGGTTCCTCTCCCCCTCGCGGCCAAAGGGCACGGAGGATCCCAGGTTCTGGTCATCTAGGAAGGGCCCAGCGGCCGGCACCGGCTCCCAGAGACTGGCCGGTTAATTTTAGCATCTTCTGTTTAGCTGCCTGGCAACCCTTCCCCTATGACCTCCAGAGCACCACCTACTTCTCAGGAGGGCGAGGAGCACAGACATCAAAGCGCGCGCCTGCCCGGGACCCCGGGACCCCTCTCCCTTTGGCCGGGGGTGGGCGCGGCGCCCGGAGGCCGCGGGCGGGACACGCGTGTGCGGCCGCGGGTGCCCCGGCCTGAAGGGCGCGTGCAGGGGGGAGGGGAGGACAGCGCTGGCCGGCATTTCCCAGGCGGCCGGGGAGGTGGACGCGCAGGGCCCGGCTCACCAGGGAGAGTAAAAACGGAAGCCGCGACCTCGGCCAAGCAGCAGCTGTCCCCAAGGAGAGCGCGCCCCGGGATGGGGGCCACCTGCGGGGCGGGGCGGCGCCCCCGACCCCCCAGCCCCGGCCCCGGCCCCCCGCCGGCTGGGGTGATGTAAATGGGGAGGAATGAGGCAGAACACCTGCGGGCTGACTCAGCCCATCTCCTCATCCCAGAACAAACACTCCCCTGCCCGGGGCGGCCGCGCGGGCACCCCGGGGCCAGGCTGCACCCCGTGGGCGCCCCCCGGGGGTCCCGGGCCCTCCTCCCCGCCGGGACGCCCGACAGGCAACAGGCGCGGGGCCTGAAGGACACGAAAACAGGCGGGGGAGGCGCAGGGGCCGCGCCACGGCCCCTCCCTCCCTTTGTACCGCGGGGGCGCGCGGGGGCGCGGGGACACACGGCGGGGGTCGTCCTGCCCCTCCCCGTCCGCACACTCCGGACGAGCCCCGGGAAGTCCAGTTCATCCCCGAGCGGGCCGGCCGCATCCAGCGCGGCCGGCCGCGGGGCCAAGGGCGCCCGGGGCAGCGGTGGCCGCGGGGCGCGCCCGGCCGGCGCCCCCGCCCGCCCGCCCCGCCCGGCCCGGCCCGCCCGGCCCCGGCCCCCCGCCGGGACCCCCAGGCCGGGGCTGGGGGGCCCGGCCCGGCCCGGACGCGCGCTGGACTTCCGGGTTCCTCTCCTGCCCACGTCTGCCGGGCCGGGCACGGCCGGGCCGGGGGATGCTCGGGCCGCGCGGGGGTCCCGCGGCGCCGCCCGCCCCCGCGCGCGCGCCGGGGAGGTCCCGCGCCGGGCCCCGCGCGCCCCCCGCGCCCCCCGCGCCGGGCGCGGCCGGCTCCGGGCCGGCTCGGGTTTCGTCCTGGAATGCGCAGCCCGGCGGGCCGCGCGCGCCCCCCGGGCCCCGGCCGACCCCCGCGGGGGGCGCGGGGACCCGCCGGCCCGCGCCCCGCGCCCCGCGCGCCGCCGGCCGCCCGGCTCCGGCGGGGTCGGCGCGCCCGAGCGCCCGCGGCCCGCGCGCCCCCGGCCCGCGCCCCCCGCCTACCTGCGCCCGGGATGCGGCGCGAGGATGTCCCGGCGTAAAAATAGCGCGGCGGATTCCTGCGCTCGCTAATATGGATGCGCATCAGGTCCCTCCCGCCGCGCCGGGCGCTGGTTGGCAGAGCCCCGGGAAGGAGCGCGGAGGAAGGGGAGGAGGCCGGGGAGGAGCGCGGGAGGCGCCGGGACCCCCGCCCGCCGCCGCGCCCCCCGCCGCCGCCGCCGCCGCCGCCGCCGCGCGCCCGGCCCGCGCGTCCCGGGGGCCCGGGCCGGGGGGCGCAGGGCCGGCCGCGAACTTGTTCCGGAAAGGGCCTCAAAATGGCGTTTCTGGACGTGCAAAGTTCACCGGCCCGCGGCGCCGCCGCCGCCGCCGCGCCGCGACCCCCGCCCGGCCCGCGCGCGCCCGCGCCCCCCGCCGCGCGCCCCCCGGGACCCCGCGCCCCCGCCGCCGCGCCCGCGCCCGCCCGCCCGCCCGCCGCCCGGCCGCGCCGCCGCATCCCGGGCGCGGGGCCGCGGGGGCCGGGGCGCGGGGGGCCCGGGGCGCCGGGGGGCCCGGGGCGCGCGCGCCGGCCCCCGCCCGCCCGCCCGCGCCTCGCCGCGCCCTGTCACCCCGGGCCGGCCGGGCCACGCGCAGCATCCGCGCCCGGGCCGGGGTCCGCGCCCGCCGCGCCGCCGGGCCGCCCGCGCGCCCCCCGCCCGCCCCGCGCGCCCCCCGCCGCGCCCCCGCCCGCCCGCGCGCGCCCCGCCCGCCGCGCGCCCCCCGCGCCCCGGCCCTCACCTGGCCCCGCGCCGCCGCCGCGGCCCGTCCGCCGAGCGAGCCGGGATGATGCTGCCGGTCCAGGCCGCCGCGATTGGCTGCCTCCCGCGACCTTTGACCCCGGCCCCGCCACCCAGGTCGCGGGTGCGACCCAATCCGGGCGCGGGCCGCGCATCCCGCCCGGGCGCCGGGGATGGGCAGCGGGCCGGGCCGGCCCGAGGGCGCGGGGACACGTCGGGGCCGCGGCCCGGGCCGCGGGTCGCCCCGGGACCGGCCCGGAGCCCCGGGTCCGGCTGTTCCCCGCCCCCCCGCGCGCCCAGGGGCGCCCCGGAGCTCCACGGGGCCACCACGGGACACGCTGCCCCCACGGTGACCGCGCCCGCGCCCGGGTCTCCGCACCGGTCACCTCCGAAGTGTCCCCGACTGCCCTGCCCACGGGAAGGAGAGAAAACGAGTTTGACCACCGGCGTGTTTGGGAGCGCCAGGGACCCGGCCTCGCGCACGGCTGACCAGGGTTCCATCCCCAACACCCCGTGTGGACCTTGAGCCCCACCAGGAGTGATTCCGGGAGCGCAGCGGGAGGGAGCCCTGAGACCACCGCACGTGGCCCCAGCCCCCTCCCCCGAATAAATTAAAGTGTCACATGACTCCTCCTGGGTCCCGAGTCCCTCTCCTCTGGCCGGGGGGGCCTGTCCTCGGGTCTGTCAATGTCGGGGCCCCTGGAGGTGCCTTGCCCAGGCCCTGGTGAAGACCTCCGACCGAGGGGTCTCTGGAGGGGAGGTGGGGATGCGGGGCTGGTTGGAACATGTCAAGTGGAAGGGTGAGGGTCTGGGAGGCCACTCAGCGGGGAGCATGTGGGAGCCCCGAGATCCGCTCCTGACACTGTGTGGTCCCGGCACTGCCTGGCATGGCTAACAACAACAACAGCAACCACAATAATAATATAATAACTATGTTTGGGGCCACGGAGGCAGCTCAGCCCTGAAGCACTTGCCTGTGTGAGGCCCTGGGTTTGAGTCCAGCACCGTGAGGCACCCCCAGGCTTTGTGCAGGGCTGCTGGATGGCCCAGCCACACGTGGCAGGAACGGACCCACTGCCCAGGGCCCGTGGGGCACAGCAGACAGCAGGGGCAGCTCTGTCCGCACCGCAGGAGCCAGACTGCCCAGCCAGGGAGGGGGCCGCGTGGTCACTCCCGGAACCCTGTGAGATGCCGGGGATCGAACCCCGGCCGGCTGAGGGCAGGCTAAGGACCCTCCCGCACATTCTCTCCGGCCTGTATTTCTGAGTTTTCAGTCATTCCGTTTGGGGGCCCCACCTGGTGATGCTGAAGGTTTACTCCGGGTTCTTTGTCCCTGTGATGCTGGGACAAAGTCGGGGCCCCGCATGCGAGGTTGAGCCCAGTCTCTGGGCCTGGCCGGCCCCGCCCCACCCGCCCTTCACAGCAGGACCTGGTCCCCGGCGGAGGCTGGAGGCCGGCCGATGGGGAAGGAGCCTGTCTTGGCTGTCCCTCAGAGGGCACCACAGATGCCCCAAGTGGACTGTGGACTGTGGCCCAAGGGTCTCTGAGGAAAGCCGTGTCCTCGCTGGAACGAGCAGCTCCCCTTCGACCTCAGTTCCCTAAATAAAACTGTTTCTCTTGAGAAAAATGAAACTGACTGTGGTGACTGTCTTCCAGGGGACTAAAGGTCATCCAGACATCCGCGCGGGGCCGGGGCTGTGGGTCCACCTGACACCTCTGACCAACAGGCACAAGACCAGGGTTCTGGCCCGGCACTCCGGGTGAAGACAAGTGACCGGCCGTCCTCTGAGAGGGGCAGAGCAGGCAGGACGTCTGCGGTGAGGTTGACTGCGGAACCCGCTCATCCCAGCCTTGGGAGAGGGGGTCCCAGGAGGGGCCTCGGGAGAGAGGGTGGTCCAGGAGGGGCCTTGGGAGAGGGGTCCCAGGAGGGGCCTTGGGAGAGAGGGTGGTCCTGGAGGGGCCTCGGGAGAGGGGGTCCCAGGAGGGGCCTCGGGAGAGAGGGTGGTCCAGGAGGGGCCTTGGGAGAGGGGGTGGTCCTGGAGGGGCCTTGGGAGAGGGGGTCCCAGGAGGGGCCTCGGGAGAGGGGGTCCCAGGAGGGGCCTCGGGAGAGAGGGTGGTCCAGGAGGGGCCTCGGGAGAGAGGGTGGTCCAGGAGGGGCCTTGGGAGAGGGGTCCCAGGAGGGACCTCCGGAGAGGGGGTGGTCCCAGGAGGGGCACCAGCAGCCACGCTGAGGGGCCTCGGGAGAGAGGGTGGTCCAGGGGGGGCCTTGGGAGAGGGGGTGGTCCTGGAGGGGCCTTGGGAGAGGGGGTCCCAGGAGGGGCCTCGGGAGAGAGGGTGGTCCAGGGGGGGCCTTGGGAGAGAGGGTCCCAGGAGGGGCCTCGGGAGAGAGGGTGGTCCAGGAGGGGCCTTGGGAGAGGGGTCCCAGGAGGGGCCTCCGGAGAGGGGGTGGTCCCAGGAGGGGCACCAGCAGCCACGCTGAGGGGCCTCGGGAGAGAGGGTGGTCCAGGGGGGGCCTTGGGAGAGGGGGTGGTCCTGGAGGGGCCTTGGGAGAGGGGGTCCCAGGAGGGGCCTCGGGAGAGAGGGTGGTCCAGGAGGGGCCTTGGGAGAGAGGGTCCCAGGAGGGGCCTCGGGAGAGAGGGTGGTCCAGGAGGGGCCTTGGGAGAGGGGTCCCAGGAGGGGCCTCCGGAGAGGGGGTGGTCCCAGGAGGGGCACCAGCAGCCACGCTGACCCCCACAAGGGACGGGGTCGGAGCTGCTGTCGGCACACTGTCGTTCCTGCCTTGGGAGAAGCCGTCCACTGCATCCAGGTGAAGGACAGGGGCAGCTCTGGAGAGAGGCAGGGGGGCTGCCTGGCTCTGCGCCCACCACGTCAGGAGCGTCTCGGTTCCTGCTTGTGTTTTAAAATAAATCAAGGGGCTGGAGTGATAGCACAGCGGGTAGGGCATTTGCCTTGCACACGGCTGACCTGGGTTCGATTCCCAGCATGCCATATGGTCCCCCGAGCACCGCCAGGAGTAATTCCTGAGTGCATGAACTAGGAGTAACTCCTATGCATCGCCGGGTGTGACCCAAAAAGAAAAAAAAAAAAACAATAAAATAAATTACATTGCTTGATTCTAGGATTCCTGGCGCTCGCTCACACAAGACCCACAAGGCCTTCTTCGGGGGGTGCGGGGCAGGACGAGGATCTGCAGAAAGCACCCGGACCCCCGCACTGGCTCCAAGCCCTGGGTCTTGCTGGGGCCAGTGAGGGCCCAGTGTGCTCTGGGCTCAGGCTGGAGCAGGGGTCCACTGCCCACTCCCCCCCAGGGATGGAGGCGGGGAGATGGGGAGAATGACCTGGGGGCTAAACCCAGGGCAGCACCTGGCAGAGGAGCCTGGACAGGAAGGAGGGGCTGGGAGGGTCCCTACCCAGAGGCCTGCACACAGGAAGCGGAGGCCTCCCCAAGGTCACCTCTGTGCTGGCCGGGAAGGGCCGAGAAGGGGGGCTGCAGGCCCAGAGCCAGCGCCGGGCCGCTGCTGGGATGCTGGGGGCTGGACTCCCAAGCAGGGGCCAGGTGGGACTGACCCCCAGTGGGGCTGGGAGTGGCCCTGCCCACCCCCTGTGTGGTCTCAGGAGCAGTGAGGGGACAGGAGGGATGGAGGGGGCAGCTGGTTGTGGCCTAACCTGGAACAGGCCTGATAAGGCCCAAAGGGCCCCCAGACAGTGGAGGCGACTGACCTCTGGGGTCTGGGCATGCCCGGGCCGAGGGGGAGGGGGGTCAGGGGGGGCCTTCCTGCCTTGCATGTGCACAGCCCTTAGTTGGACCCCAGGCCCCCTGAGGGCAGCTTGGGAGCCCCTCCAAGGGGGCCAGACCTGGGGCCGTGGAGGTGTGGCTCTGTGGGGGCTGGGACGGTCGCTCTGGAGGGGGACCAGGCTGTGTGTGCCAGACAGTGACCGGTGGGGGAGGGGAGTGCACTGGGAGGGGGAAGGCCCAGGAAGCAGCAGGATGGTGGCCCTAGCCACGTGGTCCCAGGCAGCTGCGTCCGTGGGGAGTGGGAGCCAAGGAGCGGGGACCAGGCCCCCAGCACCCACCCCACTGACCCCCACGCCAGTGGAGACCACAGGGCTCCAGTCCCTGACACACCCCCTGGTGTCCGCACAGCCACTCCGCCTGGGCTGGACCTGACGCCACAGACGGTCAGCCATGCCTGGACATGTCCGCAGTGTCTGCTGCGTGGACAGGCCAGGCCCGGGAGGCCCAGAACATCCTCCCTGAGTCCCGGCAGCCCCCAGCAGGACTGTGTGCCCACAGAAGCCTCAGCACCTCGGCTCGGAGGTCCCTGGGGGACACGCGGGTCGGCAGAGGGGACAGGACCACGCAACCCCCAAGAGTGGTGGCAGGAAGGGCCGGGAAGGGCGGGGCAGGCAGAGCGGGGCAGGATCGGGGGCTTAGGCCCGGCCGTGCTCACCCAGAGACAGAGGCAGGAAGGCGGAGCTGGGCTGTACGCAGAGGGCACCCGGTCCTGGCTCAGTGGGGGCGCCCCTGACCGAGGCCAGCAAGGACAGCACAGAGCACCACCCCCCCGCCGGTATGGCGACCACCAAGGGGGCGTGGGCAGGGGCCAGGCAGCAGGACCCCAAGATCAGAGGAGGACCACGAATGCGCCCTAGTCCCAGTGGTCACCGAATTGCCCGTGTCTGTGTCAGCGCAAGGGAGGAGGACACGGCCCGGGGGCACAGAAGGCCACCTAGAGAGGCTGAGGGAGGAGCTGTTGGCACCCTGGGCCGGGGGGTGGGGTCTCAGCCCAGCCGCTGATGGCCACAAGAACGGGGGGACCTGGGTGGAGGGAGATGCCACGGGGGACATCCCCTCTCAAGAGGGACCCACGCAGGGCCTGGGGCAGGGTGGCCAGGCTGACACTCAGGGTCAGGCGGGCTTTGTGCAGGGGGTCCTGGCTCAGCTCAGCCCAGGACGCGTTTCTGAGGGACTGCAGTGGGGTGAGCGGGAAGGTGGCTGGAAGTCGGAGGTCACGTGACTGC